AATTCAGTTCCATATATCCCATTCAAGACGCTAGAATTAAAAATATTTTGTTTTGTTTTGTTTAAAGATGAAAACAAATTTCCCAGTTACTGAAAAGGTCCTGATGAATGATATTTTCTTTCTCGTCATTGGAAGAACATAAAGTATGAAGTGATAAATATTCTGCAAAAAGACGGGAAACTTAGAGCAGAACACCAGCAATGCAATTGATATAAATCAAAATTAGAAGAAAGGAAAGAAAAGAACCATTAGGACACTTGTAGAAATAGCATAATGCTACTTTCCCACAATCACGACCTTTATCAGGACCTCAACACGACCACACTTGACCTTAAGATCGTGCTTGGTCGTGGAGCATCGTGGCAAATATGCAAATATGTGTCAAGTGTACGACTGTCATACAATTGTCATGCGACAGTCATACGGCGCACTACGATGGTATATGTTTTTATACGTTTTTTTATACGATGGCAATACGGCTTGTATACGATCGGTTACGACTGTGCCACGACTTAGCACGATGTCAACACGATGGCCATAAGACCTTAAAAGACTTCAGTACGACCTACATGAATGTCACACGACTGTGCAAGACCGCGATACGACATCCATACGCTTTTGTTTGTTTGTTCTTGGCCCATGTGGTCTGATGTGTATATAAATGGATTGGAGATGCCCCCCTGTGCCATTCACCATGATGTTTGAGGAGGAACAACACCTGCACGAAGCTGCTTTGGTGGAGGAGGAGGGCCTTCTGCTTGTTGCAGCCCTAATACTAAGGGCTAGGGACCGGCGTAGGCGGCGCAGAGTCAGAAGAAGAAAAACTGTGTGGGTGAAACCATGGTTATTGCGGAGACCAGAGTATGGACACTATGAAAACCTCTTACAAGAACTTCATCGTGAAGATCTCAGCAGCTACAAGAACTTCTTGTCGCAAAAAAGGAATACGAATGGACAGTTGTTATTTTCTGATCGAAAGATTAGTTTTCTTTAACTACAACACATCTCCCGATAAACCATATAATTTAAATATTATTAATTATGATTAAATTTCAAAAAACAAAAACAAATCAAAAAACAGGCGGAAGCCAAACAAAACAGAAGGCATTTGATATGCCACACAATGCTAAACTAACATGTTTTTATCTCCTCGTTAGCTAAAACAATATGGAATAAATGATGACCAGCATTTCACAAAATACAACTTAGAAGTTACTCTGGACACCCACATGTAAATCAGAAATGACCATTCAAATAACCATGTCATTAATTTCATAAAATATACCTATCGTGTGAATTGTACAAGATACACGCGAAAAAAGCTAGCCACAAAGCTTGTACACCACAAGAAGATATCCCTGCCAAGCCAAGCCAGAGGAAACACACATTTGTATCCAAAGTAAGTTCAAAGAGAGTGCCATGAAGACGGTGTCAAATGACATCAAGGGTTACTGCACGAAACGACCTATTTTAGCCTTCCTGATATACTTAACTGTCTGTATGCATAAATGTACGTTACCAATTGTACATGTGTCATCTTATATCTGGAAACATAATACGATATATAAAGCAGTACGCCATTTACGTGTCACTTGATATCCGAACACTAACGCACTGTACGTCATATCCGTGTCACCTGATACCCGAGCACTACGTACCGAACTTGATATCCGAACACTACCGAACTGTACGTCATATCCGTGTCACATGACACCCGTGCACTACCGAACTTGATACCCGAATACTACCGAACGGTACGTCATACTCGTGTCACCTGATACCCGTGCACTACCGAACTTGATACCCAAACACTACCGAACTGTACGTCATATCCGTGTCACCTGATACACTAACACTGCCGAACAGTAAGTCAATACCGTTAACAGTATCATTGTTCGGTATATTTAGATGCTTACTGCGCTTCCCCATATAGTTTCTTAGCGTTCCTCTCTTTCATCACTGGCTAAAGTTTTGGATAAAGAAAGAGAGTCGGTCACAATTGCACACACAATGTCCCGTATTCATGAAACCGTTCTCATTCTCAGCCATGAATGTTGTGTTCAGACTATTTTTTGTACCTTATTTAAATCATGTGAAAGGATAAAAAATTCAACTAAAACCATTTTCAATCGTGTTCGGTTTAAGTGTCCTTATTTTTTTTTATCAAAACGACGGACAAAATATGTATTATTTTCATTATATATCACAGGAACAAAACAAAATCGTTTGAGCATACAATTCGAGTTTGGGCATGCAATTTGTTTCATGAATACGAGCCCTGACCTAATGCTGCGTTAATTTCGAGGTTAAAACTTCCTATCAAAAATTAATAATCGATTTCTACTGAAGAGAAAGTCTCACGATATGGATTATTCCTAGAAAGCCCGAGGTTTCCTCACATCTTCTCAAACTGTTAACAATAGGCACGACGATATGCGATTGCATCTGTTCCTGCGATAATCAAATTCCGTCAGATTTCTTTTAATACAATCACTGAATGTCACTCTATAACATGTCAGGATAAAATTCATGGGTTTAATTTTCGTCATTTTTTATTCTATTTGTAACACTCCAACACCAAATCGACTCTAGATTAGCCGCTAATTTTAACACGAAATCTATGCCAGAACTGTCTTTTATATTGGTCGGGGTTTTTTTATTCTTCAAATGTGCCAATCAAGATCAGAAATAGACTTGAAATCAATGCTTAAAAACAGTAAACAATACATAAAAAGAGTCTATCCAAACACACATCATGCTATCGGGTCTCTTACATAGAACTGTTCTGTCAAATTGGTGTGACATATATGTACTAAGGAGTACCACGTTGATAAGAGCACATCTTGGTATGGTTTGAGTATAACAATCCTTCCTTGTACAGCTAATTTGTAGAAAGTGTCCTGCTTGTATCTCTATATAATGAAACATTAGCATGGATCCAGCTGAGAAGTACATTGTATGACGAGTCGATGATAGGGACGATTACGAGTGTAATTCTGTGTCGCCGAGATGTTTTATGCACAGGTATCAGACGACGGATTCGTTGCTATAGGCAGTAAGATCGTTATCGAATTATTATCTTTTTTAATGACGGAACAGAAAAAAAAATTCCTACCAATATGAAACCAGCTTGTCAGTTCATTTTCTTGCGTAGAGGCACGGTGAAACGACCTTAGACTTTGGAGTAACATGAATCTTTGGATCAAACCAAACCTCAAAAGAATTCAGCTGACATCATTTAAACGATCTCTCGAACACGCTAGTCATGTTATATTTTGTAGTTGAAAGGTTTTGTACATATTGGTGGTATGTGTAAGGGCTATTGCAGTGTCTGTAGTGGTGATTTGGATCGGGGGTAGGGCATGCATGTTAAACGTAGATGTTGGTCATTGATGTTTGAAAATTTGCTAACATGTATGGATCGGGGTTACTCTGATGTTTGTAATATTGATTTGGGTCGTAATTAGCCTACTGCGATCGTTGTTGCTTGATAGATGGATATTGGTCGAGGTTTCTGAGAAGCTTGTTACATGTAGCAGTGGTCTGGGTTACTCAGATACTATTTCTCACGTACAGTATTGTTCAAATCCGAGATTAGTGAAGAATTTGTTTATATGTGAAGTTCGGGTGAGATAATTTTAAACATATACCTGTAACCAACAATAAACTCAATGTGTTTATTTAAGTACATGTACTCTAGTCGTTCGCCAAATTTTAGGCCAAATAAAAACTAATTGTTACTTAATTATTTAACTGAAGAGAAATTTTAATTAAGATAGGTTCATGTAGTTAATCTACTTCCGTAAAACAACTTACAGAACAATCTACATTATGCCACAGAATATACAAAATAAATCTCGATGGAGTATACAATATGTTTCATCAGTGTTACACACATGTACCAATTCTCAACTAGAACCGTTGCCACTATGTCACCTCTTCCGGCAACAAAACCGGTATAAAATAGTGCGCTGTGATAATCATGACAACCTTCTGATACCTTTGGATACCTGTATGTTCATTAAAAGATGGGACTACATTGTATTTGTAACACAGGAGGTATTACCTTGCTACCATTGATCTCTGACATTCTTCAATTAGCATTCTCATGATTAAATTTACACCACTTGACACGACTCATTCAGTAGTATGCGAACACAACGAATACGAGTTACGAAACCGAAAGTTTTCATGAGTATGCTTGACATGACTTTTCCGAGGGTGAAATTATCGACTTATTCATGATAGGATTTGACTAGTGGGTTTTGATCAACAAGTTTTCATTGCACAAATTATTCACGACTATAGTCACAGTGGTGTGAAGAAATAATAATCCAAATTCATAGACATCAACAGTTGAAAAACTTTGCGATACGTTTCAACTAGCAACTGATTCTCTATTTTCTTTGCTTGGAAATCCATGTCCCAAGAAATAGAAATTCTATTGATAAACAGAACTGATGCATATATTGTATGATAACAGGACCCTCGAGCTCATAGTGATGTTACAATGTATGTAATAAGAAGTCCCACGAGCTCGTAGTGACGTCATTAATTCTTAACATGACCCATGAGCTCGTAGTGACAACATTTGACAACAGGGTCCACGAGATCATAGTGACGTTATTCGATAACAGGACCCATGAGCTCATACTGATAGTGACGGTATTTGATAATAAGGTCCATGAGCTCGTAAGGACGAAAATTCATAACCGGGTCCACGACCCCGTAGTGATTATGGGATCCACCAGCTTGTAGTGACGTCATATTATAACAGGGCCCACGAGCTCGTAATGACGTCATTTTATAACAGGGCCCACATATCCGTACAGTAGTGACAACATTTTGTTACAGGGTCCAGAAAAATCCTGCCCACAACACGCTATTAGTTTTATCATTATAGAGGACAACAATGTGTTTTTACTTTTTCTACTACATTTGAGAAATATTAGAGTAAAGTGGGATTTTTGTTAATTTGCAAATAGGGTATTCTATCTTACCTGGGGAAGACTAGCGACGGCACTGAGAAGCCATGCCAGTGTCAACATGATCTTGCCCCTCCTCTCGGCGTCGTGAAGACTCATGGGGTGCACTATGGAGAAGTACCTATCCAGACTTATGGTCACTAACACGAACGATGACAAGTAGAATCCAAGAGCGCGAAAAAACATTAAAATCCGACAAGCAGCGTCCCCGGCCTCCCACCGAACCGTGATATGCCATCCCGTCTCCAGGGGCAACATGATGAAGGCAACGATGAGGTCGGCGATGGACAGGTGCATTATGAAAGTATTAACTCGGGACTTAATCCTGCGGCTCCTAAACAACGTTATAAACACTATCAAATTCCCTGAAGCTGCGACGACAAATAGACAAGAATATGCGATGACGGACATGATGCTGTCATCGTTGAAAGTCATTTCTCTGGGTAGCGGGACATCTGTCATGTTTTGGGCGGATGTAGAATTATCTGTAGACCCGAATCGTACCACTGACGAGACTGTGGATGAGAATATGGTCGAGGAAACCGATGATGTCGGAGGTAATGACATCGATGACGACGAAGATGTTGGTAATATCATCGCGACGTTATCGTCGCGAAGATTGAAGTAAGGCACTTGTCCATGGCCACATCCAGAAATATTTGACTGTACAAGGACTGAGTGAGATTTCGTGGTAGACATGCTTGGCTGCCCTATTCAAAGTCACATGTAGACATGTTTATGATAATCTGACCGGTTTATATTCCGTGCAATAGAAACACAATAATAATTATCAACACAATTCCGTTAACGTTTGAACAAAAATTAAACCACTCCACTTTTCACTGAGCTTGAAACAAACAAAATCACAACATTAAGGCAAAGAATTCGATTGAACAAAACAGTATTTGTCACCAAAGTCTATACTTGCTATAGAACATTATCCTGGTAATCAATTTTTAAATTTCACATCAGTTGTCCGTGCGGTTGTATCGACGGAAAGGCTACGACTGACTATACATAACCCGCCATCAGCAGCACGCGCCGTTCTGGCTGACATGAGGATCCTCCCTACCGGTCACGCGCCACGGCATCACAAACGGGCCTTAATCACTGACGCTGTAGCGGCATAGAAAACAGACAACGGACTTTATTACCTGTCTGGAAATTCGAAGCAGAATCGAAAGGAAGACTTTACAGTGCGTTTGTGTATAAGAATATGTCAGTTCTTAAAAAAACAAAAGTATATTTCTTTAAATAAGTTTCGGTTTGTACAATGTATGCTTTTCTTCCAGCTAAATTTTAAACAATGGCATTTAAAAACAAGAATGTAGGATATGAATATGTTCATATTCCAAATAAGCATCTGTTGAAGCAGTTTGATCAAACCGTCCAATCGAAACAATCAATACACTGTGGTAAGCATTTAAGTGGCTACAGCCTAACCCATTCCCATGTACATGAACGTGACAAACACACGCACACCATGGTTCCACTTAGTGCCTTTCTTTTGGAGCATTTAATTAACGCTTACATAAGCTGTTACTTTCTTGCAAATGTCATGACTATTCTAAGAGGGGGATGGTTAACATCTTCTCACAATACAAACATGTATCATTTAACATACTTTAAAGTGCTATGCTGAAATCTGTTGCAATGCTATCAAGTGAACTGTTACTAAATGGCACCTATATTGTTACATGTATCTGATACATGAATGTAACGATCATTGCACACTAACTACATGCGCGTGCAATACAATGATGTTCCTGCAATACCACCATGCGTAAACATAAATATGATAAAAAAAAACAATACTTTATGGATGTTTCGCAGGGATTTTTTTGGCGTTTTGTTGTAACTGTTTTGTAAAGATACAATATATGTAAATACCAAATTTAAGTTCAGGTTCATAACTTTCGCTGGACGCAAGTATCTAGCAGTATCTAGTTTAAACAGGAAACGATTGTTTTTTATCTCTCTTTTTTATTTTATTTTATCTATATCGGAAGAAGAAATACACATTAAAGGATTGTTTTAAATTAATATTCATACATAATACCATGTATTTAACTGCATTGCTATGTTATGGGAAACTAAATACATGAACACCTCATGTACGTACATTAAAATTACATTAGCTAGGCACGTAGGTATGTTGCTCTGGCGAGATGGACTAGAATTTGAATGACTGTATTGAGTGTATAAATTTTGAATATCTATAAAATATGAACTTTTTTATAGCAATAATGAAAAGGTCGGGCATGTGCTACAGACGGTAACCCGTCTTAGGAATTTCGTTATTAGAATTATGTCATCCAAAACTTTCTAATCCTCATGATATTCCCTCCCATAACATACTTTGATTTAACCATTGTTTACATCAAAAATAGCCGTTTATATATTGTATATCTTCGAATGTGACGTCAGTACAGTGAGTTTTTTTTTATATTTATGTGGGCTCTTACAGATAGGTCTGGGTTCTTACACATAGGTTTGGGCTCTTACAGATAGGTCTGGGTTCTTACAGATAGGTTTGGGCTCTTATAGATAGGTTTGGGCTCTTACAGATAGGTCTGGGTTCTTACACATAGGTTTGGGCTCTTACAGATAGGTCTGGGTTCTTACACATAGGTTTGGGTCCTTACAGATAGGTCTGGGTTCTTACAGATAGGTCTGGGTTCTTACAGATAGTTTTGGGCTCTTACAGATAGGTCTGGGTTCTTACACATAGGTTTGGGCTCTTACATCTTAATGTTCGAAGTACAAATGTTCTTTATACTGAATTATTTATAAGAACACTGCTCTGGCATTGCTGACATTGGTTAACAACAGTTGGCATACATTCACCACATCTACACATGTCTGTTTTGCTTCCGACTCGTTCACATTTATCAGTCCCAATAGATTACTTTGAAATTAAAACTGTCAAATGCGTGTGGCTGGAATGTTTATTGTCGTTATAAAGGCCTCCTACATCAATAGCCATGTGCATTGGATTATATTGCACAGCTGATTGAAGTTGTACATGTGTATATAATTCTGGCATTCCCAATGGACATGTTATTGTTACCGATGATTTTAATGCAAATTTTATTTGAATTGATAATCATCGCGATCACTTCTAGGAATTTTAACCTTTAATCTGTCAAAGTCAAAACACCCACTATCTGTTTTGAAAGAATATCGTCTTTTCTCGATATTGTTTAAAGTTACCGACGAAAGCCTTTTTGGGAAATTTGTAGCCCGTGCGAATTTCTTGGACTAGCCTCAGCGATAATACTGACCTACTTCCTAGGTGTACAACGTTAGCATTTCTTTCATTAATCGACTTGATATCGACAAAAGTACGACCTTTAATAGAGACAACATTATATTGTGATTATGATTGGAACTCTTTGACATCTCTTGACGGCGAAGACACTGGTGAGTTTTTTACAGATATTCTTTTGACTACTGCAGACAGACGTACAAAAATATCTAATACACTTATTTCTCGCCGGGCAAGCGTCCTCAATTTGTGTCTGAATATTTGTAATAAAAACATCCGAAAGAAGACGACAGTCGCAAAAAAGGCAAGCAGACGCAAGTGGCCACCCGTTAAACAAAATATATTGAAAAAATATAAACAAGCCTGTTAATATGATTGGTAAATCGAAAACTAAACACCTCGGTAGATTACACAAGGATATGAGACTCAGAAACTAATGAAACCCCGTTATTCTTCTTCTACAAAACCATGGCAAATGTTCTATTCCTTATATTTATAACGATATTAGTACATGTATGTAGGTCTAACGATGCTGTAATAAAGCCGCCAATCTGAACGACTCGTTCTCCTCTCAAACTAATGTGCTATTAACGTTGCATTCCCTGACAAATGTGCGCAACACTCCTTTGATTGACCAAGACACAAAACGAGATAAGGGACATCATCCTGAGATTGACCTCCTCAAAAGCATTCGATGCCGACTAAATAAATGCACGTATTTTGAATGAGGAAATCAATATTACTACCACGTGTATCCATAACAAGGAAGCCAATTGATCGTTGTGTTTACGAACATGTTTACAATATTCGTCTGGCTAATTTCTTCTTACGGCCTGCTAATCAACTATGGCTATTTTCCAAGACATAACTTGAGTCTTAGTGAAAGGGGGAAAATTAATACTGTTTTGTGACGTAAGCAAGACTCTTGATAGAATATTGCGTCGCGGTCTATTTCCTAAATTAAAAAAAAATGTCATGGTTAAGAATTGCCTATAAAATTGAAGCCAAAAAGCAGTAATAATTTGAAAAAAGGAGTTGATGACATAGCTTGTGTTCCCAAAGGACCCATGTTAGGGCCACTTATATTTTTTGTTCGTTTTTTATAAATCATTAAGTTACTTGCCGACGACACCTCACTGTATGTTGTTGTTGAGACACAAGGCGTTATTTCAGAACTCATAGAACATTTGTGAAAATTATTTATTGGTCCAAAAAGTGTCTTGTTGATTTTTAACAACACCTCACTTTTGGCTTGAATGTTGAGCGTTCGCCCAGGTGAATAAGGCAATGGGTTCTGTCCCCAGGCCGTGACATACCAAAGTCCTTAAAAATGGTAGTTACTATTGCTTGCTTAACGTTCAGCATTAAGGGAAATGGTAACATCTGGTTCACCCGTTGCCAGTATAATGTGACCGGGTGGAATGCTGTGCTTGGTGCCTTCGGCATGGCATTTCAGCCAGATCGCACTATAAAGTCGGCATCAGATCCGCGCTATCACAAGGAGGCAAGCACACCAACATCGGCTGTCTCCGACATACACACATGCAAGCACGCTTTCACTACACACATGGAGGCACGTCCTTAAGGATGTACTCTTCTGAGGTTTCAATCACGTTCAAGTCTCGTTTTGATCTGGTGTAACGGGTTTTTGTAATATTTAACAAATTATGATCAAGTTTATTAGCAAACACGCATCTGAAAAATATGTCAGAAAACTAGATGCCTGTTGTTTGTAAAACATTTTTTACAAGAATTTATGAAAATCACCAATTCGGCGGCCATTTTGAAAATGTGTATTAATGTGTATTTCTTGCGCTTCAAAAAAGGCCAAAATTTCACCTTTTTTGACACTTGATTGATCACTTAAATTGTCATTGTGTCGCCATTTTTAATTGTAGCAAATTCAATTTTGCTGTACAACTTTATAATGTTCAATATGATAAAAATAATATGCAACAAACTTGAAAATTATACATTATTGATAATTTTTTTACGTATTTAGTGTAACTGAAGCACTTTTGATTTTTGACCCCGAAAAAAGTAAAAAATAACACAAATGATAACGGGACAAAAAAAGAAGCAAACAGACCCCCCATTTTTGTAGATGTTTTAGAAAGAGAAACACATTTTCACTTAATTCATTAAATATTAAAAAAGTTAATACCAGAACTTTTTATATCAAGCGTTTAATCTG